GCTGCTCCTCCGCAAATTGCTTCGTAGGCACGGTGTCAAAGTTCAATCACTACAAGCAGCAACTCAAGAATGATGAGATCCAAGATGCAAGTCAGGAAGTGATTGGACTGTGTCTGCCAGCGTGTGCATGAGCGCCCTTCTCAACGATCTAATCTAATCCCTACCGATGCTCTGAGTCCAGGTGCTTTCATGGGCCCCCGGACTGCCTTTGCTGGTAGGTAGGTATCCGCTGCCCCGTACAGCTCTCTGAAATCTCCAGCTCAGACAAGGTTGCTGGCACATTGTATGTCATGCTGCCGCTCATTGTCTGCTGCCATTTCCTGGTATTTTCTGTGTTCTATCAGCTGCATGAGAGTTCATTCTGGCCGTGAGGCTTCTCCTGGACTGTTTGAGCATGTCCCGCTGCTTGGCAAGCAAAGGATGCGACTATCTGGAAGGTTTGCAGCCCTCTAAATTATGCTTGAGTCTTGGCGTGAAAAGCCTGTGTCCTGTTCTGAGGTCAATCCCATCAGCTACGAGGAAGGGCCTTGCCAGTAAATTAGCGGCTAAATGCCTTTGCAACCCCTCAGTTTTTCGCAGCTGACTCCGCATTACCCTATAACTCCAAACTCTCAGGCCTCGCAGGCCAAGAAACCGCCCAGCGCTGCTGCTACCAATGTGCGTGCCTAAATCAAGGTACGTCAAGTGGCAGATGAGTCCAACGGCCCAGACACCCAACAGCGACTTGACAGGCTGGCAAAGAAGCTGCCGTGTGCTTCTGATGTACGACAGTGCGCGACTGGGATTGCGGCTCCTACATTTGAGCAGGCTGTAGACATCGCAGCAGCAAAGCAAACTAACGGAGGCGCTTGCACGGATCGCTGGCTGGGCTACTGCATGAGCTGTGTGTCTTGTAGGAAACAACACATGTCAAATCGAGATTTATGTGCATTTCATCAAAGTCGCTCTTGCGTTTTTCAAGTCATGATGCTTGAGCACGTGATATGAAGACGTCTTCACAGTCAGCTTCGTCTGCAGAATGTGGCCCCGTCAGCGCTGCTTGGCTCTTTGCCTGAAACCCTAACAGTTCCTGCCTCAGTTGATATCATGAGTTGCATGGTTGCATGATGATGGCATGCAGCTGCACATCTCCTTGTCCTTTGCAATGAAGTGGCCTCTAGCTTCCTGGCCGCTGGCCAAGGCTCCAGCTTTCATAGGTGAATCGGACAGCTGGTCTCTTACTTGGAAGCCAACTTTTAGCCCTGTCTTGAATAAAATCGAAAGGGTTCCTGCACTGTGTCCGAGGACTCACAACCTTGTATGTCCTGCCAACCTACTGCTTGCTGGTTACAACTACATGACCAGGCCTGCTTTGGAATGGCATATGCCGGCATTCGCTTCTGCCAGGAGAGCAAATTGCAGGGCATCACAAGCAAATCAACAGAATACGACTCCAACAACTTCAAGCAGCAGACACGTCAATTGCATCTACTGCTTCCAGCTTTCTCCAGTTCTCTATGTGGATTCAGCTGCTGCAAGACTTGTAGCTGCGGTCTCGGGATTATATACGTCATGGCACACAGCTTGCGCACGAATGAAGCTGTTTGAGCCATGATCGCGGCCTCCATTGCTTCGTAGCTTGGGCTGTAGTATCCAGGTCCCAGTTGGGTAGCCTGACAGCCAAAAGGGTTTCCAAGGCCATCGATCGAGGAAGGCAAGAAGTGGTGGCACCTTCTTCGCAGGCTTTGACTGCCTTGGCAAGTGGTCGCTCTGTTCTGACACGTGAGACCTCGGTCGGCTGAGTCGGCGGCTCCTTGTTTTCAGGAGTCATCTGCGGGCCTACGCAAGTATAGCTGCGGCACTCTGCTGGCTCGGATACACAAACCCAAGGCAGCAGCAGTCAACGTGCTTCTCGGGCTTCTGCGGATTGTACCTCGGGTTGCAACTGTCTTGTGTGCAGAGCAGCTGTCGCCATGCAGCTGCAAGCCGAGATCGAGACTTCCCCGGGGCCGGCTTCCACTTGCCTTCTGTGACCGCCTTGACCGACACTAGGGAGAATGCTCGGGGAAGGCTGCCCATGTGAACGCTCGAGTTGATCAACACCCTGAGACTGTCGGCTTGATTTCTGAGGGCATCAGCGTTGCTTGCATGCACACCGGACTGCTGTACTGTACAATAGCCTCAGATGGGCCACATAAAGCTTCAAGCGTCCGAGTATCCAAGATTGTTACTGAGGCTGCACTCTTATCGTGTTTACGGAAGTTGTTGGAGACTCGGACCCTCGACGAATCCAAACATGCATTGTATTCTGGGCGTCTTTTCGCCGCTGATTAGCCACTCCGAAAGGTTGCTTGTGGCCTGACAGGCCGACAAAAGTTGCAAAAGACCGGCTCCGCGAACGATCCCTCCACAGACGATGTGGACTTCTGCCAGCCACACGAATGCGAAGGAATGACGTCTGTCAGAGGCATTCCAAGCGAAGCAACCCTGTCAACATGCTCGCTTGAAATCTAAGTCTAAGCCTAGCTCAAAGCAATATTGTGCTGATTTTAATGTCAGTTTAGATCGCCAGGGTTCGGTGCTTGCATAACTTTGGCAGTTCTGTGCACCGCCTCCTGGCGTGATGTTAGTGGCGCTGTCGCTAGCCTCTGGAAACTTCATTCGCAGGAGCTGTAATTCAAATCTATGCAAGCAGCTCACTCTGTGCGCGTAATCCTAAGTCATGGGACTGATGGTCCAACTGCTGCAAAGAGGCCCCCAAACTTAATGTCAATGGTCAGGCGAGGCACTGCTAAGAATGCTTTACAACCGGCCCTAGAGCTCGGGAGAGGTTGACTGTGATCGCAGCCCTTGGCACTTAGGCGGTCATTTCAACCTTGGCTGCAGGCTATGGCAGGGAATGGCATTGATAGCACCCATGACTTGCCACCGTGCAGCCGTGACAGCAAAGGATGTGTCTGCCTTGTCCACCAGCCTGAAGAATGGCAAAGCTGCCAAGGTCAAACAGACACTGAAGCTTTTGGCACCTTCGCCAGTCTACCGGAAGCTCACAAAGCTCGGACGTGCTGCGCTCTGGGCTGGTGCCTGGACAGCTTGAACAAATACATGTGTTTCTAATGGGAGGAAGCGTTTGATTCGTAGCAGTTTGCAGCCCAAGGCACGGAATGGGCCAAGGCGCATGTTGCCAATGGTGAAGAACAGCTGTAGATCCCGGATCTTGTCAAGTCCGCAGCTTTAGAGACAAGATTTCACTGCAGTCAACTTCAGGGCAGGGGATGCTTACAAACAAACCTTCCACTGCAGTCACGAGCGACGATTGCATCATCAGAGAGGAATTTGATCTGTAGTGACCCATACAGTGGCGCCACCTGCTTGCAGGCCGGGAGAAAAGCTGGCAGATGTAGCACGTGCACACAAGACTCAAGCATACCTTGTTGGACGCCAGCTCCTTCTTCTTGCCTCCCTTGTTCTGTGCCATTGCCCAGGCTGATCCCGGGGCAAAAATCCTCGCAACTGGCAGACTCGCAGGGCTCATTAAGGCTCCCTGAGTGCTGTTCAAAGATACAATCACAATCTAAAGAGAACGAGGCTCACTCGAAAGTCGTCCAGCAGCGGTGTGCTAAGCTGAGGCGATACGAGTGGGAAGCCGCAGCTGGCCTTGAACTTCGCATTCGGGTTCATCACGCGCCACACGGCACTGGTCTCCGCGGCAGGCGCAGACTGCGAAGGCGAAGGGCAGGCGCTGGGCGGCAGCAGCTCCGACAGAGTCAGTGCCACCGGAGGCTGCGCTGCAGGCATCGGATGTGGGCTGGATCTGCAACTCGCAGGGGGAGACGTCGAGCGAAGAGAACGTGGCGACGGGGTGGCCGAGGCTGCAGAGGGCGACCGAGTCTCCTCCTCCATGGGACATTTGCCTGGACTCAGGAACTGAGACCTGGGCACCGATGCTGAGAACCTCGAGGTGGAGCAAGACCCCTTGAGCTTGAGCTCGTCCAAAATGCACTGAAGCAAAGCCTGGTCGTGGCACTCGAGCTGAGTTCCAACGGAGGAAGTCATGGCCAAAATAAAATGCTGCGAACAACAACACGCACTGGATTTCCTCGGAAGGCTTCGTCTTGAGCAGTACAAAAGCCGCGCATCAAAAATTCCACATCCCTCCAAGGATAGAAACTAGCTCCAGCACCGGATTGCAAGCACAGAGAAACACATCTTGTTGCGCACAAGCTGAAGCTGATGGACTAAGAGCGGTCCTGCCTGGTCATAGATGAGACATCCGCGCGCGGCTTAGCATGCAGACTGGTTTGAGGAACTTACAGGACTCCACGCTCCAATGCAGAAACCTTGATGCACGATGCCTTGGAGCTACAATGTATCCTATGTGCACATACAGCGTCAGCAAGGGAACCATTGCACCGCTTCCTAGATCAACAAATTCAGTTGGGTTTCGCGGCGCACCTTACTTGCTTGTACGTCTCTGGGCCACAGGCATTTGGCCATGATGCCGCCGCGCGTGCGGGGTGTCACTACTTCGCTGACACTCTGGTACCTTGGGCAAGCCGGATCTATTTGAACAGTTCTGGTAGCTGGTTAGCCTTCAGCCGGCCTCTGAATTGGCATGGTCAATAAATTCAGCAATGCTGCGTCAAGTGGAAAGCGTCGCTGATCGTTGGCTGGACTGTTAACAAGCCAACTTGAAACCAATCAAGGGAGCCAATTTCTGGGACTTGTTTGGCAGTGTTGCTTTCTAGCTCTTCCCGTGTTGTAAATGGAAAAGAAGAGAGAGAGAGAGACGGGGAGAGAGAGAGAGAGAGAGAGAGAGTGAGAGAGAGAGTGAGAGAGAGAGTGAGAGAGAGAAAGACAGAGAGAGAGAGAGAGAGAGCGCAAGAGTGAAAATGAGTGCAATGTACGGAGGGATGGACGGAGGGATGGACGGAGGGATGGAGGGAGGTACAGAGTGAGGAGGGAGAGGAGGAAGGAACACCGATGAGACTTGAGACACAATTCGGGCCCGCGCTGACCAACGGCGGGCCAGTGCTTCTTCCCATCCTTGTCATCACGGTTGATCCGGCTGAACCTGAGAAGGAGGCTGTATGGGCCTGATATTTCGGATGTGCAGAGATATCACACAGACTTGCTGAAGGTATTCTTGGCTCCGGACATGCCCAGGGGAGCCTTTTGCCCGAATGGCCTTGTCAGGCAGGGGGGATGAGGCGATATCGGCTACACTGCTTGTCGTTGAAGAAACACCCCAGTTCTAGTCGTGGCATGAAGAATAGTCACACTGTATCAACTTTGATGCTTCACACCACAAGGCAACGCCTTGCAGCCTTACAGCTATCCCGTGAACATCATTAGCGCGGCGCTTGGTACAGGAGACTTGACCGGCCAGCAAGTGGTGAGCAATTCATGGGGCACAGGCTTCCCTTCCTTCTTGTAGTGATCTGGGCCGGGATACTTGGCATTCTTTTTTACCTGCAATGCGCTTTGGTGCTGCTGCATGCGTGGACCACGCAAGAATCTCCTTCCTCAGTAAAGAGGCTGCCCGCTTCGTTGGGGGCCTCTCCAGGGAGAGCTGTAGACGATCAGTGAAAAGCAACTTGTTGTTCATGTATGGCACGCCTTCGGAATCGTCCCACCGGGGACGATGGGCTGGAAGCCGCATTTTGGAACAAGGTACCTCATGAGCGAATTCTCCACGCTCATGTCACATGACATGTCACGCTCAAGTTTGCATGGTGCATTCCCTGCAAGCAACTCAACCTAAGTACATCATGCAGCTGCGAAGTCACTCCAAATACTTGCGGATCCACTACTACTACCAGTAGCTTGTACTGCACATGTCTACATGCTTCGGGATCAGAACACCTTTCAGCAAAAACTGGCTGCTGCGGAGGCACGCTTCCAATGCGAAACCGTCCATGGCCAGATGTTCAGCCTTTTGAGCAACCTTAAGGTCATAGCAAGCTAGACTTTCTTGACAAGAAGTGATGATTGATGCGTTTGCTTCAAGTGGCACGTCTTTGGGCCGTTCGACTGGAGCTGCCGGTCTTCAGCAAAAGCGCCAGTCCTCTGAGTTTACCGAATTGTTGGGTTTCTTGACAGACAGACCTTGTACCACCCTCATACTTGCAGCGTTCTTGCTCTTACATTCCGTCTTTCTCCCGGCACTTCAAAACCCTGGCCGCCTCCGAGCGACGAGGCGGAACGCAATAAAACTGAAACGGCCACGGTCGAACAAGTCAGGTGAAGCATCTTCCAAACAAAGAGCCAGCAATTCACGGAGCGAAGCCCAACTCTCGGAACTACAAACCACCTCCTGAAAGAAGGAAAGAAAAAACCAAACAAGCAAACAAACAAACTCCGGAATGTAACTTCTCCACAGCAGGCCCCTAGGACCCTCTGGAAATGTGGCCCCAGAATCGATGGGGCCAGCCCTGCAATGCCCAATAAAAACAGCAACGAAAGCCTGATTGTTCCTGCGCGCCACAGCAGACCTTGCTTTTGCCCATGTGCCATTCAGACAGCTCGGTCTGCGCCAGACGCTGCATCCTCTCAAGCGCTGCCAGGCGCTGAGCACGGCCTATACTTGGGGGAGGATTGTAGCCAGGGAAATGGTTGCCGCTCGCTTATGTTCACAGTCGAACATGCTTAAGGGAAAGACGTGCAAAAACAAGTGCTGTTGAATAAAACCCGTTCTTTTTTGCTTGACCCGAGAAGTTGCTATTGTCGCTGCAGTTTCCTATTATCGTTGTTTTCCAAGTTTTGGGCCTTATCGTTTGCGTTATCGTTATTTCATCCTCTTATCATTTTTCCAACTAAAACCACACGTTTCGAAGTTCGAGGCGCACCAGGACAGAATACTCTGGCGCAGGGTCATTATACAACCCCAAGCGTTTGAGTCAACATAACTGGCTTCCGCTGGCCTGAGTAGAGCCACTCCTGCATCTCATCTGCACGCTCCTCGGCGCTGGCGAAGAACTTCAAGGCAGTGTCAGCCTTGAACTTCTCCTCACGGTAGTTTTGCTGTGCCTCCAAGAGCTTGCTAGACATTCTGGCGGCTTCAGCCTCCAGACCTCAGCTCAGAAAGACAGATCTTCTTGGAGGAGAGTGCTTGGGAGTTTAGGGCTTGACAAACCTGTTAGAAGCCAATTCTGGGCAGAGCGACGTGCTTTGTCAGCCTCCATGCGGCTCAACTCAGTCTGGAGAAAACCATGCGCTTGCTCAGCAGTGATCTTGGTTTGCGGCAGGTCCTGGAACATGGGGTGGTCCCCATGCTGCCCAAGCTCAATAGCATCAGATTCTAGCAGCCGACTGAGTTCTCTGAGTTCAGCCTCCGTGCTTTGACGGAGACTAGCTTCCTCCTCTTCCAGCCCCATTAATCGCTCCAGTTCCAGGGCCTCTTCTTTTGCAAGCCTTGCCCGCTCGTTGGCCAAGGCATTCCACTTGCGGTGCCCCCCCACGTTTGGATTTGCATAACCCATTCCAGCCAACTCGTCGAGCACCGACAGGATAGCTGTTAGAACGACAGAAGTTTCCGGAACAGCCCCTTCAAACATGGGTCTAGGACGCTTCTGCACGGACCCAGAGGATGAGCTGGAGTCGTCCGGAGCATGACCAATATCCGTTGACACTGGGTTGGAACCTGCCACCATCTCGTATAAGGAGAGCGTGCGCTGCATCTCCGCTATCAGTCCATCGCGGGCCTCGGGTGCCTCCCTTGGAAGGTTGCTGGCGCTACTTAGAGCCGGCACATTTTCGAGCTTTTCGTCCCTTCGCTTAACACCAACAGCTTGCGGAGAGCCATCTTTGAATCGAGATGCTGTGGGCGAGCCTGTATCCTGACGCTCTGCGATACTTGCAAGGCGCTCTGAGGCTGCAGTGAGAGCGGCCGCCACCAAATGCGCTTCTCCAGCCTGCTCCGGCTGGTCCACCTGCTCGCCTGAGTCGTGACATTTGTCACTCTCTCTGGCGTCTGCATGCTGATCCTGACTTGCTCTTTGGCAAACCTCTAGATTCGCATCAGCCAGGTGTGAAATTTTTTCCTCCAGTTTCCACAGCCTCTGGAGTAGTAGGTCCTGCTTATGCAGCAGCTGTGATTCATCAGTTGCTGACCATCTTTGAGAATAAAAGGGTCGTGCAACAGGGTCTGGAGGCTGCGCTTCGAGCAGGGACTGTGGATAAGCGGCTGGAGGATGTGGGAAGTGTGTTGGTGGGTACATCTGCATTGGCTGCATCGGCTGAATTGGCTGGGGCTGCATGACTGGAAAGGGCACTGGCAAGACATTAACGCAGGGCACGGCGCCTGCGGCGCCGGCACCGCATGCGGCGACGTGAGAAACTTCGGCGCCTGGCTTCTCCTTGCTTTCCTCTTCTTCCTTAGCCGATTTCAAAGCGGAGCGTCGTGGGGCCTCTTCTGCGCATTGTGGCTCGGCAGGTTGCTTAGGCACCTTCGGGCTTCTCTGGGCTTCTGGTGGCAACTCGAAACTATATGTACATCGTGCCTGCGCAAAGCGCACTACGTCACCATGCCTTAATTCATGCGGGATGCTGGGTTTCAGCCGTAAGCCATTCACAAAAGTGCCATTGCTGGAGCCCAGATCGAGGAGCTGCGGGCGCCTGCCGTTGAAACTCAGGCGCGCATGAAGCCGAGAGATTCCCTTACCATCCAGCTGCAAGCTGCACTCTTCCCCGCGTCCAATGGATGTTTCCAGTTCCTCAAGTTGGTAGACGACACCCTGCGTGCGCAAGTATCCATAAACTATGTCTTCAGGTCTGGAGATGGCCATGAGCCATGCCCGGATCACAAACACACCGGCTGGGCATAGGTCACTCTACTCGCTTTGTTCTACTGTGTTGTTTTTTTTTCTCCGTGGGTGCTGGCAGTCAGTCTGTCCGAACTCTGTGCTTCTGTCATGTGTTCCTGGGTGTCATTGCCTTGAGGACTGCTGACTAAGCTTGTTCAACCCACCACTCCTGATGAATCTCATGCGCCATGAACTGGCAGTACTCATCAACAACTCTTGCCCTAGTCAAGCTTTAGTCAGTCCCATCAGCTCGACCTCGAGGCTAACCGTACAGCTCGAGTAATGAACGCTGCGGATACTCTCTGCAGCCTTGCGTGCCATCCAGGCAGCTTTCGCACCATTAGCCACATGCAGCGCCATGTTGAACACCTGCGTCCTCCCTCGCTTCAATAGATCTAGATTTTCGTGCACTGCAGAGCAGTCGGATTCTACTGCAAACTTTGTTTGCTTGATGTGCTGATGCCTTCTATGATGCCAGACCTGTTGGCACGCGAGAAAGCAGTTCGTTAACTTTGGACAGTGAAGATGCAAAGCTACAAGAGAAATACAGCAACCAAATCCTGGTCCGACAGCACAGCACAAGGTGCGCCGGACTTTGCTAAGATGGGGCTGTTGAAGCTTCATTTTTCATATGTATATATATATACATATACATACACACCACCGTCTTCCTACACGCATGCCTGTGAAGTAGCCGCATATACCTGTTATAAATATCTCTCATCACTCACTTCACTTCACTGGCCAAACTGTATGTGAGACACGTTTGAATTCACTTGACTCCACGGCTGGCTACACTTGCAAATGACAGTCTATGTAAATCTGTCCTCACTGTGCAGAAGATCTACAACAGTTGTGCTACTCCTCTGCAGTCAGTACACAGGCTTACTTCCCGCTATATCATACTATAGGAATCATTAGTACGTGCTACATGCCATACATGTTATATGTTGCTAGCAGCAGTGTTCTCAGCAACCTTTTGCTTGACCTATCAGCAGCGGATGCACCTAGGGCGGTTCAGGTCAGCGGAGTGAGCCCATCTCCAGACAGAGATGACTCAAAATGCTGCCTGATGCGGTCTGGCAAAATTGTGGCAAATCCTCAGGCATGTCCCTTGTGGCTTTCAGGCAGAACTGAGGCATACTGCTCAGCAAGCCTTCCACAGGAGCAGCAGCCCCAGCAAGAGCTGCAAGACATGGACCTGCTCCGAGACTGCCCCTACTTCCAGTCATATTGCAACAGGAATTACACTTCAGCCCGTACCCATGAGCGACTCTTGTTCACACATTTTAGCTCCGCCCTATGCTGTCGCGAGCTGGACCAAGCGGTCTGCTTCATCCGCACTAATGCTCAAACTCGGGACGGCATGCACATAGCCTTAGCTCCAAATAAGGTGAAGCAGACTGCAGGTCATATTCTGTAGACAAACTGCTTTGGCTGTCCTCAGTGCAGAGCAAGCGGCTCATGTTCAGAGCATGAGCCCATTCCCAGTAGTCAGCATACAGGCCCGTGGGGTTGTACTCCTGAGCCGCTTGAAGCACATGCTGAGAGGCAAGACAGGCCAGGCTGTTGCATTGGCATTCCTCCAACAGATTGATTTTGCACTTGCTGGAGATTGTTGGAGTTATTGGCAACCCCCATAATCCCTATGTGTCATGCAGGGCAAGGTTTGAGAGTAGACAAGCTGAAAGCAGCCATTGTCAGCTGAAAAATTCTTGGAACCAATGAGACTCTCCCCAGGGCAAGCAATTGATTCACCAAAGAATTTGGCCATGGTGCGACAAGCTTTGCTCCGTTTGGGAGGAATACCAGGTTCCTTGCAAAGCTCGTGCATGGTATGTAGCTGCCAAACGCAGTCAGGATGCCCACAAAAGAGAAACTGGCTATGCGCCTTCTGCGCTCTAAACCATCCGTGTTGTCAAGCTGAAATCCATCGCAATGTGCTGGACAGCGCTTGCTGTTTTCATGATGAGGAGAAATACAACCGAGCTGTGGAGGCAGCTCCATCCAAGCGAAAGCATTCTATAATCCTTTCTGTGAAGAACGCTGAATTCAGGCAAGTTGGCAACAACGCTGTTCCAGCAAAGCCAACGAGACGGCAAGTCGACGTGTAAAGCTTCCTAGGCCAGCAGACAGCCAGCAATCTGCACAAGCCGTGTGAGGCGTTTGCGATTATCTTCACGCCTGGCGAGCTCATCAACAGGCCATTTCCCCGGGTCGTCTAGGATGTGAAAACCTGGACAAGTTTGCAGCTGCGCTGGTGCCATCTCGCAGCAATCTCTCTGGCAGTTCTGAGGATCCAGCCGCTCTCTTGCCTCAGAATCAAGAAGCGGAGATGCGACACTTGAAGTTTCAAGATTGCAGCTTGCTTGCAAAGTCACTGCCATTGAAGGGTCCACTCAGAACACAGCCAAATCCCAAGTGCTGTTGAGTCACAGCTTCTCTTCCAAGACCTCCTCGCCCTCAACCGCACGACCGTTGCGAGTACCACTGCGACGGGAGAGGAAGACGTTGGACCAGTCCCCTGATGCTGGGAATTGACAGTGCTGCTGCAAAAAAACGCATGTGGGATCTGCCAAGATCAAGCTACAATCACTGCTGACATCATGGCAAAGAAGCCTTCAAGCCTTGACCCGGTCACTCTGCATCGTCTGTCTAGACTCTAGACGTACTCCCAGCGTGGCAATGTTGTTTCTCCTTCCAATGTTTGACCTCTCCTCCAGCGGTACCATCCGCACAAGCCGCCGGAGTCAAGCCGCGAAACAACTCCTCACGGATGATGTTGCGAGTGTTCTGCCGCATCAGTCCTCAGTGCTCATATCTGCAAACCGCTTTGCCAGGCTGACTTCCAGACTCTGCAGGGCATTTGCGTACAAGAAGAAACGTGCTTGCTTCAACATTCATGTGCTAGGAAGCCAGGCAGCGATCCCAAGACGCCACATTTGTCACACCTGCCATCCGGTGAGGGGTCTGCGGGATCTCCTTATCTCCAGTCAAGTCACTCATACCTAAAGTACCAATAACCTCCATATGCATCTGTCTGGACAGCGGTAGCCCCTTCTTGCAACCAGGGGATCCTCCAAGACCTGGACACCCATCCGCTCAAAAAGGACTTGGGTGTTGTGACCTCATCAACAGAAGGTCACCATCACGGGAGCAAATCACATCATCCCCAAAATGGAGTTAGACAACATTAGGTGAACATATGCTTCGTTTGGATTGTGTCCCACACTGAAACTGATTTGGCATTGAGACGCCAATGAACTATTACTTGCCTCTGCATCTTACATCCAACGTGGATGAAGGCCGGCTAAGCTACAGAATGTACAGCGAGGAAAGGATAATGCTTGGAGCGACTTGGTTATGGGCAGTTATAGCCATGTCTTGATCTGCTTGACAAGCACAGCATGAAGAGTTACTCATTTTGCTGTGAGGCAGCTGAAAAACTCACGGGACACTTGTGGCACAACCACCGACACTCTGTGACCAGCCAGCTTGGCGCCCGGGAGGATGCTCAGCACTCTGGGAAACACGTTGTCGATGGCCTTCAGAGTGCATGGAGTGGTCCCCCAATCGGCTTCTGCAAGTAAACTCCCAACATGGCCAAGAGACATGGCCAAAGTACGCTGGGCCACCGGGGTAACTCGCTTGAATCACCAGGTGCTTTGCGGCAAGGTTGTCCTGTCTCGTGAGTGACAGGCAAAGGCATCACGTGAGCACTGGCTCCCAACCCCAAGCTGCAAGGGTCCTCCACTTCGGAGGCTGGTACTCTACTGCCAGACTCGAAACCCAGAGCAGCATGCTCGGCAGAGCCATCGGTTTCCAGTGTCTCCACTCCATGCATGAACTTTCCGGAGTTCGAAGACAAGTAGATGCCTTGGAGCCATCAGCACAAAGAAAGAAGACATGGGTTAATCTCGAAATTCAGGACTTTTTTTTTGGGTACTGATTGTGTTATGGCACGAGTCTGTTGGAGCGCGAACCACGCGGGAAACTTTTGCCCCAGCATGCAGTGGGCCGCATCCAACTAGAGCAGTCCAAACCTTGAACTTAAAACGGCTTGCTGCGGGCTGTTGCCAGGAGTCTGGGGACGTGACTAAATGGCCTGCTCTTACACAGCTTGCCACGGCACTGTTGCGCGTTGCCGCATACTGCGCAAAGCTGGCGTTGAGCTGCTGAAAAGCATGGAGGTACGGCGGGTCCTCTCGAGGCTTAACGCACAGCTGCATGCTGGGACCTGTTTAAGACTCTTGTTGACCCACCATCCACACAATCCACACAGGTCCCCGGCCCCACTATGAAGGCCCGAATCACTTTTCACAGCTGCTTTATCATCCTAAGCATCAGCCGTGCGACCCCCAATTCGAAACAGATGCCCAACAAAGCGCCTCTGACATGTCCAGTGGGATCTCCCATGCAGGTGTTGAGAAGGTCACAATCGAATATGGGCTGCCTTTAGCAACTCATTGCGAGGTTTTGCTGGTAACGCGCAAATATGTAACGGCTCGGTGCTTGCAATGACTTGCAACAGCTGTCAAGTCAGTGTCTAGCGGTCTAGTAAGCATTGGTGCTGAGAGGCTGAGGGCAGAGGCGACTGCAGTTCGCAGATGTTGTAGGTCTGCTGTTCCTGCAAGACGCATCTCAAGCCTGCACGCAACTTTGGTCCACAGGGGCGCATTAGTGCTGACCAAGCGTCCTTTAAAGATTCCAAGATCATGCGTACTGGTGCCAGTGAGATGTCCAAGGCTTCCTCAGGAACGACTTCTTGCATGTGTGCGGAGGCTAGCGTTGCTGGCGATTGCTCCTGAAGATCCACGAAGTAGGCGCTTGATGCCGTCAGTGCCTGCCGAACTCATAAAGCATGCCAAGCCAAGCATTCACGAACAATCAGCAAGCCGCGGAGTCACGAATCCAAACGCTCTGAAGGGATTTCAACATGTTTCACCCTCTGGGCTAAGTAAGACTTGTGCAATTCGAGACAGTTTAGGCAATCCTCCCCAGATCTTGTCAATTTCGCGGATGCTCGCCACTGGCAGCACCAGAAGGACCACTCGGGGCATCCACATGGCGCCAAGCCGGCTAGGAAGCTGGAAGGACCACGTCTTCCGACATGGATAAACCTGAATTTAGGACACTTGGAGCCGAGAAGGTTGCAACATACCAGCAATACAACAAGCAAGCTAACCCGGTGGATGTGAATCACTCTTTGGAGCACAAAGTCCGTAGCTACAATGTTGCAGGCCAATCTGCTGTGGAGATCACTCGACCGCACTTAGATAATGGGCGTTGAAAGAGGCTCTGGCCATAATACTGTAAACGAACTCAAGCTGTCCACAGTAGCGGCCTGAGGCCGAAAGCTGCTGCCAGTGGTTGCACGGAACACCTGCGACTAAACTCAGATGTGATCATGATAACGCTTATGAGCATGCAAGGCAGCCACCACAGAATGGTTGGAAAAATCACAGTGCTTCACAGGAACTCTTGCCAGAGGGAAGTGGGCAGTACTGGTTGACAGAGAAGTAAGTTGCTCATAGCATCGTGGAGTTGGGACTGCAGCATCTCCAGAGGCAGCTTGCTTCGCCATATCAAAGGCCCAGACGCAACACAACCAACAAGTTGGATTAAGCTCATCGGCCACCCTTTGATTGCTATGTAGGGTCAGGGTAGCCCTGCGCAATTCAGCCTGATGCCTGGCCTGGACGTTGCTGGGCTCCTCAGGGTCGAAGCCGCCCGAGGCAAAGACCTGTTGAGCCATGCTGGCGCTGAGCGCCCCTAGGTTCCTCCCTGTCTGGTAATGCTCAGGAGCCATGTGACACGTGAAACCCTACATGAATGCGCAACATGCGCAACTCCTCAATGGTTCTCTGCCATCTAACTGCCTCATGCATCTGGGTCCTGGGTCTGGCACTGGAGAAGCACCTTCTTTAATTATTGGAGTTCTGTATTGGCTCGGTACCAGTATTGCAGTATTGCCTAGTTGGTCTCGTGAGTCAGATCTGTCGAGCATAGCGCTCTGTGTGTCCTTATTCATTCTCTGCTTCCCCATTTCCTTAAAGCGCAGACCTCCCTCCGGTATTCCGACCCTAGGCCCCAAGCGCAGATGACCGCAGGTCCTCGCTCGCGGTCCTGACCCAGTGAGCAGCCCTCGCCATTGTCGCCCATCTCACTACCTCAGCAAAGGCTCGAAGCCAGGCATTTCAAACTCAGCTTTCCCGCTGGGCCCACAGCCACAAAAAGCAACACGCCAGAAGTTGAAGAGTGGCAGTCGCGACCTTAACACATGAAAGCTCCTGGGCATTTCTGGAGCTGGTTGGGAAAGTCAACTCATAGGCCGTTTGGCTTCCGCTGCAAGCAATGCGGCAAGTCATTTCAAGAATATCCGCTGCTGTTGGTTCTGGTTCTGGCATTCGAGACATCCTGCATTCTTTGATGCTGATGCTGGCAAACATGGCCAGCATTGCTTAAGCTGCACCATGCCGCTTGTCGGAGGGAAGTGCCAGTTGACAATAGTTGACATTCTAAACGCAGCAAATGCAAGTCTAGGCTGCGCACGGTCGACTCACAGGAAACCGGATCAGCGTCATGCCTTCGTTGCATTCAGGCGTTTCATTGCGACCAACATTCCTAGTCCTGTAATCTGCCACGACGGCAATGGCTGACGTCATTATGTACGGATTCTCTCAGCTCTGCACTCTGAGAGCCCATGACCATGTAGTGCACAGTCAATTGATTGGCACGTGTTGCGGTGTAGGAGGCAATGCCATCTAACATGGGACGTGTGATGCCGTACCATACGAAAAAGATCCTCTGCTTCCATGGTGCCTGTACGAGGCTTTCGCGTACGGTCTAATCGCACAAGAAGTTGATTGCCACCTGGTCACGCAGCAAGGCTGGCAGACGGCTCTTGAGCAGAACGTTGTTGGGGACTAGATGTCCCTGAACAGAACCAAGCATGTATCGACTATCACAGCATTGCGAGCCTGCTTGTCCGACAAAGGGTGCAGCCTCCTGAATGTAAGCGCCCACACCAAAGGCCGTAGAGACCTGTAGCAGCAGCGTGTTCTGTGGGATCCCTCTTGGTGTCAGCCACGCCGGGCACACCTGCTCTATGCAGGGTTTGAAGTTCATGGTTCCATGAGAGAGCATTCCTTGTGGAGCTTGGATGCTTTGTCCCACAAAGAGCCTCGCGTGCTGATGATGCAAGCCTGGTTTGGGTACTGACCAGCCACTGTATTCCACTTTAGAAAACCAAATCCAAGAACAGTTCCTGCGTTCAATTGGCACAACAGCCACCTCAACAGCCAAGCCAGAGTGTGTGCATTTCGGAGCACATCCAGACGCAGTAAGGGTGCATTCAGATCCCAACATGCTGAAACCCAAATGTCCCTCACATTGGGTATGCCTGAACATCCAGGTCATGAAGTTGGAAGTCTGGATCCTTCGGAAAGTCGACCAAAATGCCCCACAGGTCGATGTCCACATCGTCCAAGATCTGGCAATGCAAAGGGGAGCCAAGCAACTCGCAAATTCATCACCAAAAACTGTTGGCCTCCACCGGAACCGTGACGTCAAAGAAATCGTCATCTCGGCGAGAAAGCATATATGCACGACTTGTAAAACTCCAGAGGGATCTGGATGACAACTGGCTCTGCTGTGCAGCTGCTTGAGGGTGCTGCATTGCTTCAGCTCCGTCCACCAGAATGGCAAGACCTGCAACCAGTCTGCAAGCCCATGTATCTGGAGTTGAGCTGCAGCTCGCAACTGGGTCCTGAGGCTTCTGCAAGAAAGCCTTCTTATCGTCAGCTGAGGCCCAGGCACTTGCTCGGACACCTCTCGGCTCTGGCGCTCTCAGAGGGCAAGGGCTAGTGCGCTAGCGAATTCGACAGCATTTTGTTTTTTTTTTCGCTTCAGCTCGGTGGAATTATTTTGTAGAAGTTCATGAAAACTTCACTGACAAGTTCACCAGAAATTTTGAAACAAACTTAATTAGCCCACAACCTCCAGCCTGGCACTTCGTCCCAAACCCTCACAACAACTTTCAAGACTCTTCACACACCACACACCGTAAAACCCAAGCGCATCCAAGCGCAGCTGAACTACCAGAAGCAGGGGAAACAGATCGTATGGCCACCGTCAGCGTCTGGAATCTGCAGTACTTGTTAGTCCCAGTTCAGGTTGTTTTGTCTTGATTTCGCACCTCCGTTGCTAGCTCACGCTCCAACCAAATTGGTCCATCCTTCGATCTATGTTGGATAAAGGCTTCCCACCTGGAGCGCAAAACAAAATGTAACGAAATGTCACACCAACTTCATTTTACACCACTTTGGGGCATTACCTAGATCTAGATGGTGGCACGCAAGCTTACCAAAACAGACAATGCAGGCAGAGGCGGCGCAGGTAAATCAGCAAGCTGCAAGATGCATAAGATGCATGGAGGAATCCAAGGTGACGCATTCCAGAATGCTCCGCAGCAGGGTTCCTGCTTAAGGGGTTGGGGCTCAGTGGCCAGCAGTTGCAGTAGAAGTGCTGGATGCAGTATCCCCAACATAGGATGGAACACCAACAGGAATCTTTGCACAAGGATGTCTGACGTCAGTTGCACCCCGCTCACGCCAGCCTTTCCTGAACCCAGCTGGTCAGAGATCGCGGGAACGCCAGCGTGAGCAGGCAACAGTCTCTATTGCTCTACTCCTACACGTGCGCCTGCCACCCCTCCCTTGGGAGGTCCAAGGGGGCACCCCTCTCAAACCCCGTCTGGCCCGAGAAGTGCAACAGCCTCTTGCACCAAAAAAGTTATACTTGAAAGAATAGCTCAAGGACAGCTTTCGCGGCTTGCAGAGACAAGCAAGGGTAAGATCGAGGGCAGGTGGAGGGCACCTTTGGCTACTGTGCTGAGCTTCGCACCCTGCACAATCGGTTCGCCAGGAACTTTCAATGAGACATCCTGCCGGTTCCGGCACGCCAGAGGATGTAAACCAGCTGAAAAATATCAACCAGCGGCGAGCAGCCACCCATGAATGCCTACAGACATGCTTCTTCCCCATGTCCATATTTCGGCCATCAGGATCTCTGAGGAAAACGTTGAAGACATTGCGAGAGGGCATCGGGTCCCGTCCTGAAAGCAGTCTCTGCAAGCTTAGGAGGCTTTTAGCTGAAGCGACTCGACAACGCGAGATCTTCTTTAGACAAAAAACTGTTGCGGGGTTGTTGCAGAATCTGGATCCTTGAGTTTGGTAGGTGCAAAGGGACCCCTGTTATCATTCATAGATGATTCATGCGACTGGAATTTAGGGGTAGTCCCATTCATGCTAGCAAAACATGAACTGATTCTGCACTGCGATAGTGGGTACTGTAGCAGAACAAGCTTCAGACAGCGGAATGAACAAAAAAGGCTCACATGCGTCAACTCACTCGAAAGAGGCTCAGTAAGTACAAAGCAGCGAGAAGCATGCTGAAGCAAAGCTCAAAGAAGGTAAGCAGACATCATGCTCGAAAGCGTCCGGCTCCAAGACTATTATCCGGCCAAGCACCGAAACATGCAACACTGCGCGTCCATGCGCTGAGGCGACGACGTGAGGTCTCTGCGGGCACAATGACCACGTGGAGGCTGCTGGGCAAACTCTGGTTCAAGGTGAGGGTTACCTGGTAAGAATGACCAAGACGGGCAGTTGAACAAGTGCTGCACTATCATTCCAGCGCAGGCCAGCCATGCAAAGAAAGGGATCTAGCGCAAATCAAGGTCCAGACGGTTGGTGGGTTTACCGATGTTTCGCATCTTGCCAGGGGCCCCAGGGACACGGGCAAAACCTGGCAAGACGTGTCTGCGCAACAGGGCGCACACTCTCCCACCTTGCTGCCATTAGAATTTGTTGCCACGCCTGAAGTCTGCACACATACAACTACGGCCATTCTGACTCCGGAGCTTGTGGCATCAGAAAGTCTCTGCAGCTCACACGGAAACTGCGGCAGATTGACCCGCCCTCGCTTGTTCTCGCAGCCAAATTGCTGCAGGTCACGAGGTCCCTCGACGACGACCTGCTCATCAACGGAGCCATCGACTGCATCACAATTCCGCAAGTCTGGTCTCTGCAGGGCCTGGCCGAACCGCGGAAGGTCCACGCGGCTCTGGAACGCAAGGCCAACATCTACAGGTATAGAAGCCAGGGCTCCATAGACCACCTGCATGGTGAGAACCCTCATGTCAGGAAGCTGCCACTGCAAGCAGATGGTGCAACCTGGACGTCCATGTCCACAACCTCGAAACCCGTGAATGTGCCCTGGCAAATTATCAGAAAAGGTCTGTTGAAGGCCCCCAAATCTCCTCAGCAAACCAGCCGGCCGTACTCTTCCAAGCCGGTTGCCCACCGACGTATAGTTAGAGCCTGCTGAGCACTTGCTTGTGTCTACTCGACCGAAGAAGACGCTCGATGCTTGGACTGGTCCGATGCTTACATTATTATATAAAGTGTGCTGAACCTGCGACCCTATGAATCAAGCTCAGCTTCTATCTACGCAGACTTTGCCAAACGCTGGCCTACCAGCGCGACAGCTTCGACGAACCACACCTGACAACTCACGCTGTCCTTTTGTGAGTTGACGGAACTGGTCATGCCATGCTGAAGCTTGAGTTTGTTGTCTGGCTGGCTGGGTGGCTGACATTTTGCACGTCCGGCACAGTGGACTCAGGCCTGGGGTCTCAAGTCATCTCATGTCAACTCAAGGCACGATTCCCTAGCATACATGCTTAAGGAGCTGACGACTCTGCATAGACAACTGCGGCGGCCTCTGCTTTATGTTTGGCATATGGTTTTCAGGATTGACATCTACAGCATGCAAATGCAACTGTAAGTCGCAAGAGCAAGAACGAAAAGCTCGGCCAGTGACGTCACGAAGGCACTCGGTTCCTAGCCCTGTCGTGCGAACTGCCGGGTCTACCTGCCGGCTTTGCGGCTTTGCGGCTTTGCTTGCAAAAACGTCAACAAAGACCCGGCTGAGATGCCTCGCAGTCCACACGTGCACGGCTTAGGCCATTTGCTGGTGGCAGTGGCAAACAGCCTGCAGGTAGCCAAGGTTGGTAGAGGCACAGGCTTTTAGTCAGGGGCGCTGACGCATCTGCGGAACATTGTTGGTCTTGTTCTCCTGCTGCATCGGTTCAGGCGTCAGCCTAGCTCTACCACAGGCCACACGACACATGCACCAAACAACAAGGCACTTCTGGAATAGTCTCCCTTTCAGCCACACATCCGTTGGGCTGCGCTTTACAAGGATTCGCTGTGCCGGTGCCCAGTGTCGACCCATGGCAGTCCTCAAAGGGTACGCGGCATGGGTGAACAAAGCTGTAGCCAATCCTCAGAGCACCGCACACTGGCACAAAATGTAAATCGCAAATTCTGACCGAGCTGCCTTGGCGCCGCAAAAAAATCCCCAAAAGCACAAGCGCGAGGCTAAACATCTCACCATTCACTCTAAATCCACAAGCCAGGCTGCAGCAGTTTTTGATCCTGTGCTGAACATCCTCCCTTGCAAAACGACCAGGAAGCCAACCGTCCAGCATTGCAAAAGTATTCTGATGCGGAACTTCGAAATAATAAATTCCTTCCAGACAATCTTCAACAGAAACCAAAGCTTGGATTGGAGGTTGGTGTTCTGGACTAAAACCGAGAGTGAGACCGCTAAGCACATGCGGGCACGCTGCAGTTCTGCAAGCATGGCCAGGCATGGTATCTTGCATGCTGGCAAGGTATGGTAGCCAGGTCGCCATTATCCTGTTGACATGCTGACCGCTTTCATGATCTAGCTCCCACGAGTTGTGCTCAACAGTTTTATCCCTCATCAAAGTGATGCAAGAGAGCAGACAAACCATGCTGCAAATCACGAGAAACAAACTCTGCAGGAAGTTTTCAAGAGCATGCTGCCAGCTCAGGCATCCACACGATCAGGCCGAGACTTTGAATTTCAGCTACGAGTTCTTCCGGATGCATTCAGCGACAAGTTGGAAAGGAGTCGTTGCTGAAAATGGCCCCTCGAAAGCCGTCTCTCAAGCGGTTCTGGCCTTCTAGGATAAGGAAAGGAATCACATCATGCACATTTTACGCTGCCTTCGTGCCCCTCTCCTTCTTCTTGCAGTGCCAGTCTTCTTTACTTTCTCATGCCCATGCAAAGCTGGAGATGTGTGGGTTCGGCTGCATTGCTAAATCCTGTCAGTTCATCTCGTGCGGCAGTCTCCACCTTCTCTGCACATACAGCAGTGACAGAGGCAGCTGCGCCGTGGAAAGCATCCTACAGCCTTTAGCGAAGATGAAGGATACGGGGGAAAGCAACCAAAGCTGTGGCACTCTGAAAGTCTTGCCAGCATGCATTTCTTAAACTGTCTGGTGCAGGCGGCACAGTGCTGTGGCACGGCTCTGCTTACTGTTGGACAAGTGCTCCTTACAAGTGTGGCAACTTGCCACGATCCAGATGTTTACCGCTTGTCACAAGTTGGGTTGTGACAAGACTGACACTCTCCTAGACCGTGCGCAGCACCAGTTGTCACCGTACTGACAAGGCCGCACATTTCCCTGCGGAATGCAGCAGCCGGGCTGACAAATGATTGCTTCAGTCCTGCCAAGGCAACTGCGAGATAACTGCAAGGCTTCATGGATGCAAGGAGGCCACTACAGTAGGCAAATGGAAGCATGAAAGAAGATGAAAGTAGATGGCTGCAGTCCTTGCGAGTCATCCCTTCCTGCGCAACTGAGACATGTCGTCAAGGCTGACCGTTCTGAAAACCCGCTCCTGGAACACAGCGCGTGTTGCAAGGAATTCACCTTCTGCTCCAGGCGTTCGAGGCCTTTGGCATTCAGCTGCCTGGAAGCACTGAAGAAAAGGAGCCATCACACAGCACATGCCCAGATAGTCCTGAAACTGCTGACGGCTGAAAAGCAAAAAAACAACCAAAGATGCGAGGCACAGGAGCTTGAACGTTTTCATCTGGTGAATTGGGACATCATTCCTTTGCTGGCAAAATGAGGAGTCATGTTCATCCCTCCCTCGGACAAGAATGGGAAACAGGCTGCACAGCATGTTTGATTCCACTCTCATGCTTGAAGGCCAAAATAGTTAGCTTTCATTCAAGCTGCGTGAGAAGGTTGAGGAGGCCATCTGCGAACTCCACCTGGGAGATTTCTCCTTTCCCATCTACGTCCAGCATGTCGAACAGGTCCTCTCGCGGATCATAAGGAAATGACAGTGCGATACGATAGGAACAAACTGTGAGGAATGCATCTCGCAGTCGGCGGTCGTGCAGCTGAAACGAATTGAAAAAGTTCTGCCACGTTGTCTCCTCCAAGTTGTCTACCTGCTCCAAACTGACTTCGAACGGCAGGTCCTGCCCAGTCTTGATGCCCACGAAAACACTTGGATACTTGCAGCAACACCATGCAGATTGCTTCGTGCAGAGTCGGGCAAGCTGAGGCCCGCTCGCTCAATTGTATCCTGGACAGCCTTTGTAAGGCCACTGGCCACAGGAGGCACAACAGGGTACAGACATGTCACCTGCTGCTGCTGATGATGATAATGATGATGACGATGATGCCTATGCCGAAAGCCGAGCTTTATGGCTTACACAGGAGGTGCGCCCACCCAGCCAAGATGAAGGACCCAAATCTTGAACCCGGTCAAAATCAGTGCCTGCGTTCTTAGCCCCCAGCCACCAATCCCGTCACACCACCCCATCCGCACTGTCAACAATGGCCCGCAGTTATATATGACCGGTGATGTTTCTTGCCGGCACAGGTGCTTTGCAAGGTTGCCTCCATGACTCCATGTGCTGCATTTCTGATGCACATTGCTTGCGGCAATTCGCAGAGCGGACGTCCCGCACAATTTGCTGCTGGCGGGCTTTACCGGAAAGAGAGGCACTAAGGCCACCATATCTTGGGCTGCTTGAAGTGTGCTGGTTGCTGCCTTGCCACTCATGCCTCTCTAAGGTACCATTGCCGTCTTCATCAATGGAAGAGAAGACCTGGCCGCGGGCGAACATTTGCTCCAGCAGTTACTCCCGACGACCTGGTAGTCAAGAGAACTGAATTCAGCTGCAGGGCTTCCATGATCTTCGGCGCCCATTTCTTTACCTCGGATGGCACGCTTGCGTTCGCCGCAAAGGAAGATGAGTTGTCTCGCCAACACTTTCTATTGCACGTGGAAACGGCTTCGCCCGGAGCTAACGTTTCCACTAATGACTTGAATGAATGCAAACATACATCCTGGTTGCTGTCTGCTTCATGTCATGTCGGCTTAATTCCTTGTCGTTGGCGGCATTTGCAAGCGCGCCCTCGACAAGAACAGCCGTGACCTCAACCAACATATGAATTGTCACATGCGCCATGACCCAAGTCCTGAGGTGAAGACCAAATTCATCAGGGCCACCTCAGATGTTCAATATGGAAGCTGCAAAGGCCGGCAAAAGGTCACATCATAATGCCATCTCACGCTTAAGGCGAGCTGCCGACACCATTAGAATGATTGGCACGAAATATAGGATCAGAGCAGGGCTTTCTCGACAGAGCGGGTAGTACCTCACTCCAAGTATCAAATATTGCTTGCTTGTATGCTTTGCTTGTATCCACCAGTTAGGCTCGCTGTGAAGCGATTGCTGGCATATGGATTTTCCCGAATTGGGTCTTTTGCGTACCCTTTCGCGATCCTTTTGTTATACAAGTTCATGAGCCAGGTGAG